GACAAAATAAAATTGTTGAAGCCAAAGACAAGAATGTGTATCTCAACCAGTATGTCATGTTTGTCAGGTTGCTGAGATCACTCATAAGAATGAAAGGAAACTAGAGTGAGACCACGGTGAACTGTGTATGATCTGCCAACCATCTTCTTCTTGTTGCTTCCGTATCTATATATAGACTCTCATGTAACCACAATAGTTTTTAGCTGGTTATTGTGTATCTCCTTAGACAGTGGCAAGACAAGAAAGGATCAAGTGTTATATACCATTACCTTACTTTTTCAAATGTTTTTGCAATTATCTGAGATTACGGAATGGTCTCCTCTATTAAATCTTTATAAATTTAGCATTATAGCTTAGCTATGCAATATAGAGACTTGACTCAAAACAGTGGTTTTCGTTCTTCCTCCCTCTTTTCTTCTCTCCCTCCACTACTTCTTCCTCTCCTCTTGCACCTCTATCTCTCTGCTCCTTCTTTCCTGCTACATACCTACCTATCTACTTACATACCTTAAGAAGCCTTTGTCCAAATGAACAGGCCATGGTTAGAAAACACTGGAATATTTAAGTTTCAGATGTTTCTGTCATGTCTGTGTCTCATAGTTGCAATTTTTTAATGGAATATGACAAATAATAATTGGATTGATGTCAGATTAACAATAACAAAATCATTGTAAAACTTAGATATTCTATTCACTTTTACAATTTTTAAAAAAGTGGTGCAATGGAAATACATAGAAAAGAACTATGCATTTTTAGCTATGAAAGCAAAACCATTTTAGTTTACTTACTACCTCAGCTTTGGAGAAAACAATCTTAAATATCTAATGACAAATTCTCATTTCATTTTTTATTTAAGCACTTAAAAAAAATCAAATATCTATGAATATCGAAGAAAATATCAAAAAAGAATATAGAAGAATATAACAAGTGTCTTCTTAATTTGAAGGAAAGAAAAGTCAAAACAGATAAAAAAAATTGCAGCATAAAATATATCAAGAGTCATACAGTACAAATTGGAATGCTTTTCCATATGTAAATTAATGGTGTGAATGCTTGTTCCATATTCAAAAGAACTAATCAGATGAATAAATTCCATTGCTGAAAGAACCTTTTTAAATTGACAAATTTTTAGTAAGGTGGAAAATGCAATAGCTAAAACAACCTCTCAAACTTCTATTCCAAATTACTTATGTTAAAGATGTAGATAAGTTAAAAAAAAAACAATTTGGGGAATATATTTGTGATCTGGGCTGATTTTAATTAATCATAATATATTTATTGTAAAGAAAAGAGTTTTAGTTTCCCTTATAACAATAAGGCACATTTTAAAATAATGTCTTCAAGATTCTTTCCAAATTCCAAAAATTCATTCTATTATATCATATAATCTTTTTGATATCTGTCTAGTAACTTTCACAAAAAATTATGTTAATGTTAAATTAATATGTATATTTGAAATACATTCTCAAAGCAAGTTTGTCTAATAGTTGTAGTTCCCAGCTTAAATATCCTTAACTCCTGTGCATGAGAAAGTTTATTGCAAAAAGTCCTTGAATATATTTGAGCATCAAGCATCATAGCCTTTGAGTTGAATCAATAATGTGGATTTGCATGTATTTGACCAATAATATTTTTAAATTAGGTAGATATGTTTATGCTTAATAAAATACAAATTTATTTTTAAATTTTGCTAAATCTGTTTTACCTTTTGGTGATTTTATATTTTCTCAATCAACAGATACTAAAATTACTACTATAATGTGAACATCAATAGGAAAAAATATTTATCTTAGAAAAGGCTCTTCCTATTAAAAAAATATTAGTTCCCTTTATCCTAGAATATTTATGTATGTATGCATATTTGACAACTAATGATGTATTCAGTAACTTTCTAGCTTTTTCTGTGACTCTTTGGGCAAAGATATTTGAGTAAAGAAAATGGTGAATAATATATAGATTTGACTGTTAACTTTTCAAATATACTGTTGTAAATTACTATATCTTAGAATATTATTTCAATACAATTTATGAAGTCATTTTGTAACTATCTAGTTGAGGAAGAGTTTAGAAAACTATTAGTTTTCCTGTTCTATCTACTCTTATCAAATCTCTATGAGAAACATTTTCTTTTACACAGAAACAAGCTTATGCTCTAAATATATTTCCTGGTGAAGTTGAGTGAGGAAAGCACTTGTTGACATGTCATATTGTCCTATTTAATTTTGTTTGCATAAGAACCCCTTGACATCCACAGGTGTAATTAAAAAGATTAAGTGATATTGGTCAATAAACTTTAAAACATAGTTTATAGTGATAGAATTATTATAGAATTGACTCAATACTGATCTTGATCCTTGAGGAAAATTATTATATTTTACTGAAGAGATTCTTCAAACAATATCATTCCTTCTGTGAAGAACTTTCATTCAGGCTATTATGGAAACACTATAGATTTTACAGTTAAAGAAGTCTGAGTTCAAATCTTCTCTGCCATAAAACATGTGGTCTTAGACAAGATTTGATTTCTCAAATGAGTATACTAATGTCTATATCGTGAGAGTCTCTTGGGAATTAAATGGACTAATATATAGATAGTGTCTATGTGCTGGTGTATAAATAGGAACTGTTTTTTTTTATAGTGCTTGCATAACAATGGACTTTTAAAATATATTATGTATGAAGCATAATATTTGAACTTAAAGTTTACTGTTCCTCTTTATTTAAAATACTTATTAATTTTAAATCAATTTTATTTATACCTCTCTTATAGAGGCATAGCTGCATATGCAACATAAAGCAGAAATAACTATATTAATTTTAAATCAATTTTATTTATACCTCTCTTATAGAGGCATAGCTGAATATGCAACATAAAGCAGAAGTAACTACTGATTTGCTAGGTATACAAGTCCTTGAAGTCTTTCCTCTGATAATGTTAGAAGAAAAAAATACATGTTCTTAAGACATGAAGTAATATAGTTTTTAGGATATTTCTATAGAACTGCCACCATGGTTATTACTCATTTGTTCAAGAACAGGAGAAAAATTATAGTTGTACCTTATTAATAGGATCACTGGCCTTTAATTTTAGGGACTAGGATTTAGCAGAGAAGTGTAAAACCTATTCTACTGAATCATTTTATGCTACTAATGTGTGTGAAATACATCAGGTTTTATTTTGGGTAATATGTGCGGGAACACAATTGTATTATTCTTCAATTTGCTTAGAATAAAGAGCCACTTTGTGTAAAAGTTATCTCATTGCTTCAAAGGAAAAGGATGGTTTATTAATCACTGAAGTAGTTTTCCCATGTCTGTTCTCTAATTCATAGACTATAAAATTAACTTCTGTCAGCAGATCAAATATTCTGTTCTGTATTATGAAGATGAATTTTGTATATTAACCATTTAAGAACATTTTATCTTAAAATTTGACTTTTTTCAGGAACACACTTTAAAATATTTTATCATATTATATGTAACTTCTCACCACCCTTATTTAAAATGCTTTTATGATTTTGTGCATGCTATTAAATAGTATGATATTCCTTTAAAAAAAATACTTATATAATGTAATGATTTTAAGTAGAAAGTGTTTATTATTTAATATATAACTGATTAAATAGAATCTGTTATTTTCATTTATGTTAGAGATACATGTTTTTGTGTGTTTTTTGATTTCAGGATTTCAAGAAGGTTCTGCAGAGAAATGCTGTGGCTTATGTCAGTCTCCATAGTCCCATAAGGGGTAACTCAAGTCTGTATTCTGTAGCTTCACCATCTCTTCAGCAACTGGTAGCAGAGGTAAGATAAACTGTGTTTTTTTTTTATAAAATGATTATGTAAAACAGACTTTTTCCTCTATAATTTGGCATTTCTTGATATTTAGTTTCTTTTTTAATATGCATAAAACCATCTATAAGTGTTTTTAAGAAATGATCTGTTGCAGAGTTTTTATCAATATGCCTTCACCCAATTTCTTAGAGTCTAAAATTCCTCAAACACTACGCTGTGATGGTTATGTTGTAGGTATAAATCAAACATAGAATATATGTATGAATGTAAATTTGTTTCTTAAGAATTGAATTTAGCTCCCAGGTTCCCAATTCTGCATTCTTGACATTTTGTGGTAAACTTAATTACTTTTGGATTTCTTCCCCCTCATTCATATTTTGAGTAATTTGGGGACCTGTCCTATGTTTTTAACTATGCTTAAGCCCCCTGAGAGCAGGATCTGTGTCTAACTCCTAGAATATAAGGAAAACTAAATTCAAGATATTTAGAAAATATTTTTAAAAACATAGAAAAGAAAAAGATGCATTTTCCTATGAAATAGCTTCAAAAAAATTATGTAAGTTTGTGATGTCTCACTAGAGTTGTTTTTTTAAAGTTAGTCACTTCTCATCTGTTTTAAACAATTTTGCAAAGCTTTTTTGTTTATTAGTAGAGTTTATACTTTTATTTCTACATTCTTTTTTATGACTTTTACTGCAGATAAAATGATGTATGTTATTTTTCAGAATTAAAGCAACCGTGCCACCACTGCAGGACGGTGGGTAGTTTCCTTGCAATCCCAAAGGCTGTTGGTGTATATTAGAAATGACCTTTTTATGCCCACAGAGTTTCCAATAAGTGTCACAGAAACTGAATTAGAAAAAGAAATAATGAACGGTGCTTTGGATTAGACATAATTCTTCATTGAAATGTAGTACAAACTAACATTTTATGACTTTCATAAAGTATTCCCTAGTTTAATAGTTTTCATTGATATTTTCATATGTAGTATAATAAAGAAGACATTATAAAAGATGAAATGGGTGAATCTCTATATTTAAAATCAGCCAAGTCTACAGCCATGCTACCCTGAACAAGCCTGATCCCATCTGATCTCGGAAACTAAGCAGGGTCGGGCCTAGTTAGTACTTGGATGGGAGACCACTTAGGAAGACCAGGTGCTATAACCATGAAAAATTAAAAAATAAGTGATTGTAAGCTGACAAAGTCTTTGCAGTCTGTGAGGTCAACCAAGGGTTGCCTCACCTAAAATAAAATTAAATTAAATTAAAATAACATAAATACAATACAATACAATACAATACAATAATAAAATCAGCCAAACCCCAATATACATGCCCTACATTATATTCAAATCTGTAAGTGAATTCCTCTGCTCTGTGTACTGCTCTGAGTCCTCTAACTCTCTCATCTGCCTGGGAAAAACTCAAAAGAAGAAGATATGGGCAGATGTCTCCCTTGGGAAGTTAAGATATTTCTGAATAAGTGGGTGATTTGTAAATAAGAAATTATGAGCTCCAGTATCCAGAAATTGTGGAAAGTTAGTTTAAAAGTTATCTTTTCCTTCTCATGTGTTACAATATTCCTATTTTGAGAATATTGGAAAATATGTAACCATTGAAATTTATGGGTAAATAGAAATAAACTTCAAGGTGTATCGTATCTATGAAATATTTGTCTATAGAAATATGAAATTTATAGAAATGTGTGAGAATATAATGGCTTTAAAAATGTCTTTGCACATCTTATAACTGAACACTGTAAAATATTAGTATCTAAACCTAATTAGTATCTGATAGTACAGCATGGTGTCTAAATAATGAATAGTGACATGGCAGATGTACCTTCTTATTTGTTTGGAGAAGGGAACTTTTTGTTCTATAACTGAAAATGTTTACATACTAACCTAATAATAAACTTGAATCTGTATTAAAAGGAAATTTCTTTCAGTAGAGATTGCATGTGTATGTGTGTGTTCCATTGGACAATTTAGAAGGGTAGGATTATCACAAGTGTAAACAAACAATACCAAATATAATTTTAAAACATGAGAATTATTTATCTTTATATATTAAATTATGCATACATGATAATTTAAGTTATATTGGCATACAAAAATATAGCATATATTTTTCTTTAAAATATAAAAACACTCTTACAAATATAAAGGTTAAGAGCACTGAAGGAAATACAACCCCACAGTAATTTATATGATTTAACTAAAGTGATATTACCATTACTGGCATTCAAAATATATATTTAAAATGTTTATTTCAAAAAAGAATTTAATTTCAATATCAGAACATATATAAATTCACTTACAGAGATATTTTTTAATAGTCTTCAATACCTTATGTTTTAAGTTTATTTAGATTCTGTTACCACAGATAGTTTTGGCTTGTGCCATATAATTTAGCAAACAAACAAAAACAAATTCAAAATGATTTTTCTACACCGAATAATATTTTCTATAACAAAAAGTGCTTATTAAATTGTAGATAGTATAAGGCTGTACAGAATATTAGATACTCATAATCTGCAGACTCCAAAAGATCTTGCTAATTTCATGATGTGGACATAAATATATCAGATGAAATCTTTAAATAATTATGAGAAAAAAGGATACATACAGGTTATTGTATTACAAGCTTGATTTTAAAAAAAAGTATAATGGTTGCCCTCAATCAAATACTAGTTCAAACTTCATTAATTGTGTGTTATCCCAATCATGGAAGATGGTAGTCTACTGTACTTGTCCATCAGACCTTGGGATGGTATTCTTTTTATTAAATTAGACTCAATGGATAAATTGAGATATAATTTACATATAACGAAATTTACCCATTTTAAGTGTATAGCTTGATGAATTTTGACAAATGCAATTACATAAACATCATCACAGCTGAGCTATACAGTATTTCCATTACTTTTAAAATTTTTGTCATGCTCCTCTGCATTCACTATCTTCTTTTCATCCCTAGTTCCTGGCAAACACCAATCTGATTTTGCCCTTACAGATTTTTATTCTGCTTGCTATAAAATATAAAAGTAAAATTGACTTTGAAACATTCTTCTACTGACTTGTCTTATACAATATATGATATAGTTTTTGTTAGCTTATTTTTATCTTTTGTTTTGTTTAGGTTTTTTTAGGAGAAAAATTCTGTGTACTTTCCTATTTACTATGAAGTCCAACTCTTTTCAGTGTATTCTACTTAATTTATTTTTCTTTCTGATTCTACTGCTAGTAGTCAAGTGAAGTGAACATAACAACTAATAAATTGATTTAAAATCCTTTCCTACACTAATTTACTATTTCAATAAAGTCTCACATTTAAAATTGTGATTCTTTTGGCAGGTTTATCTATCTCTTAGGGTTACAAGGCATTGTTTTGTGTTAAAACCAAGCAATCTCTCCAGTTTATTACTGTTTTACATGGTTTTTTGTTCAGTATACACTGACAGTTTTGTAAATCCCTTTTTATTTAAACCTAAATATCAAGGGAAGTCTTAGTGAGATTCTGGTTAAAACCCTGAATTTCAGAAGACAGCTGATTTAAATATTTGTAGTATAAAGAGCAGTGCAAACAATATGAGATATTAACAAATTTAGCCTGGACTCATACACACAATCAGAATTACTATCACATTCTTAAATTAGCTTTAGCTAAGTTAGTTTTTTTGACTTTTTTGGTTGGTATATTGTAAACCGACCTCTATAGGAATCAAAAGATGACTATGCATTCAGGAGAAGTATTAGTGATTCATCATTGTTGATAGGTTAGATAAAATTGTTTCATCTACATAGCATCATCAATGCGGCACTGTACACTTTGCCATTAAAAAAATGAAATCTACTCTGATGAATTAATTGTCATTTTTTCCCACCTGATCTTTAATATGTTTTGATTAAAAAAAACTAACCAATAATATCATCAGTTAATCATCTATATAATAACCACAATAGTAATATTTTGCCCTTATGAAATATGACTTTTTATGTATAATTTTTATGAGTAATAAAATTAATTTTAAAAGACATGGTTTTATGCTTTAAAAAATTGACATGTGATACCTTAGATAAGTTTTATAAATTCTAGCTCCTTTGTTGTTTTGCATGTTTGTTTGTTTTTAATGTGGCACCTTAATCAAGTTATTTTGCACTTGTATTAATATCTAGATTTAAATCGTTCACTTGGTTATTTAACAAAATAATTTGTTTCTACACCGTAACAACAAATTATCTAAAAGAGAAATTTACCAAGCAATGCTATTTACAGAAGCATTGAAAACAATAAAAATGCTAAGGAATAAATTTAACCAAAAAGGTTAAAGGCCTATACTGAAAACTATGACATTGATGAAGAAGATGGAAGGAGATACAAATAAATGGAAAGATATCCTGTATTCCTTGATTGGAAGAATTAGTATTAAAATGGCCATACAACTCAGAGCAATCCACAAATTCAATGCAATTTCTATCAAAATTCCAGTAGCATTTTTTTACAGGAAAAAAAAAAAAAAAACTATTCTAAAATTTGCATGGAATCATAAAAGACCCTGAATAGCCAAAGCAGTTATTAAAAAAAAAAAAAAGGCATCACACCGCCTGATATTTCAAGCTAAATTACAAAGCTGTGGCAATTAAAATAGTATGGTACTGGCATAAAAACAGGCACATAGACTAAAGGAACAGAAGAGAGAGCCCAGATATAAAACCATGATTATACATTTAATGAATTTTTGACCAAGTTGCCAAGAATATACAATGGGAAAGAGAAGTCTTTTAAATAAATGGTGTTGGGAAAATTAAACATGCAATTGCAAAGAATAAAACTGGACCCTTATGTTACACTACTCACAAAAATCAACTCAAAATGGATAAAAGACTTAAACATAAAACATCAAACCATAAAACTCCTAGAAGAAAAGATCCTTAATATCGATCTTGGCAATGATTTCCTGGTTAAGATATCAAAAGCACAAGCAGCAAAAACTAAAATAAAACA